GCGGGTATCTGCACTTGCACTCGTTCTGTTGCATGCACACATTTTTGGGGTTGAGAGCACCGTATGGTCCATGCATCATATGTTTCACCACCAAGGCGTGGAGTTCAGGATACTTCTGCTTGTCTGGGAGTTCGACAGAAATAAGTCGGTCGTACTGCTCCAGAACGACAAGCTTATAGGCAGAATCCATGATCAATAAAAAGTGTGCGTGGGGGAGGCCCCTCTTCTGGAACTCGACTACGTATACATGTGCGACAACAACACCGAGGATATTCTTCTTGAACAACATCTCTTTCATAGCCTCTAGCTTGCCATGGAACACACGAGCCACAAGACCAGGTCGGTCTTGCGCTGTCTGACCAGGAAACAACTCATTCGTTATCTCTTCCCAGTTAGGGTTGCAGGTCATGGTCAAGAAGATGTCAGGCTTCCCGTAGGTATGGACTATTGCCATGGCATCCATATGCCTCCGCTTCATGTCGCGGTCGCCACCTGGGTACGTTCCAGGGAGCACTATCCTTACTCCAACAGCGCTTGCCCGGGTCTCTCCGGATGTAATTGCATCAACAACTCCTTTATACAGGTCGGCGCGGATCTTTGTCTGGTTCTTCCTGTACCATTTCAACCTACAACTCTCAATCTTGATGTACATGTCCACCCCCATTGCTGGAGCAATCGTGCTCCACAGAGTATGGGATTGAATATCCCAGGTCATGTCTGCAACATGTAACAGTAGTAGTCTCTCACCGAGACGCATAACCTGCTATTCCCCTCTTCACATGGATGAGTAACGCGGAAGTTAGGATTCATATGAGAACTATACAATTCATCAAAACAACATAATACGCATAAGGCTTACCTGCTTCATCATCATCATCACGTCCACCTCTTGGTTGTTGCACAACCGGCCAAGGGACATCACGTTTAGGTAGTTTTGGGTGCCAACCGAGCTCCCCCCTTGGGTATAAGAGTTGGTAAAAGAGCGGGTCATACGAGCCAGCTGTCACATGTATAATGTGCCTCTGGTTGTCATTCCCGCAAAGTGTAATCCTACGATCAAACCTCTTCGCTAGGTCAGTGCCCTCCACCCAAATTGCAGCGACCTCAGATGACAGAGGTCTATTATACTTCCTTTGGTCTAGTATCTGGTCAGTGTTGAGGTCTATCCTGTAATCGTCGAGGTTGTCCCTGTGCACACCCAAACTCCTAAACTGCTGGGAGTACGGGCTTTCCCTGAGTATGTCCACTAACTTTCTGACGACGTCTTAGTCTAATTGTTTGGTGGCAGCCTTGCGATGGGTTAGGCCTGGGTCATCGTAGTAGAAGTACAACTGTAGATGCTCTGGACAGGATGTTGGCCCGAAGGAATGAATGTTGTGGTAGATGGTGCCGTGCGCCCGAAACGTGTACACCCCAGACTTCATGTTTGTGTAGCTTTCATCGAGGCTGACGCCGAGGGTTGTGAAGGAGAAGTGGCCATTGAAGAACCGTATGTTCTCCTGAAAATGTCTAGAGTCCACATTAGTGCTAGACCAAAGCCTCATGAGTTCTGGGATGGGCTCCAGTTGCTTCAGCTCGATCTTCCCACCGCGACAGCATAATCCCGGGGCCTCGGACACAAACTTCTTAGCCTTGCAGTGGTCGCAGTTCGCGGCGTGCTTCAGGATGTGTGTGTTGGCTGGGAGGTTTGAGTACACATAGTCAAATGGATCATGGTCGACATAGTTATTGTGCCTTGAGTCTTCCAATTCATTGTGCTCCATGTCATCAACATCTGAGCCTGCAAACAATGTTTCTAATTAGTGAGATACCCCCAACATGTGGATCACGCTCAAGCGGGTGTACATACCTTCACCATCAAACAAGTAATATTCATCGTCAAAGAGGTTGTCAGGACTGGCATTATCATTCATGAGACCATTGAGGTAAGCGTCCATGTCGTCTGCCCAGGTGCCAAACAACACAAATGAGGGTTCGGTCTCAAGGGACACAAGGAGAGTAAGGATGGGGGTGTTACCTTCACTTCTGATCGTGTACTCCGGTGTGCTAGATGATGTTGAGGCACCGTGTGCTTCAACTATGGTAGGTTGTCCCGTTGAGCTAATCTCCGATGTGGAGATGGACTTGACGGCTGGGGTATTCACCCTACCTGCAAAGCTTGCATTACGACGATCTAGCAGAGCCTTCCTCTCACCATGTGGCACCCGCGAACATGATTTTCGCTTGCCAATTTTCTCCTGACACTTATTCGCCGCCATACTTCCCTTGAAAGCTCGCTCTCTCGTCCTACGCTGAGCTCTGGACTCATGACTCTGCTTGCCAGCGCCATAATCCGCTTTTGTTACCGGATCACTGGTCTGCTGGTCGGCACTTGGTAGGTGCTCATTGATTTTTATGAGGTTGCCATCTACATCACCATCACCTAGGGTTCTGCTTAGGTATGCACCTACAATATTATCGAATCATTATAAATAACCGATGAATGATTACAAGATGAAAGATGATCGTTGATGGGATATCTACCATCGGTTTCGGTGTTGCGAATGTATGTGGGGGCCGACTTGACAGTTGTAGCACGATCTATCTGTTCACTGTCAGATTGTTGCGTGATGGTTGGAAGTGTGAGAGTCGGACAATGTGTGTGAGGGTTGAAAGCGTGAGAGTTGGACAATGTGCTAGTTTGATCTGGACGTGGCATTGCGATTGATTCAGCACAAAGGGTGTTTTTCCTTCTAGCATAGTCTGCCTTTCTCTTCGCACTTGACTCCCCCTGCTCATCAGGGGTCCTGTTGTTTCGTTGTTCCTTTCGTCGCTCACCCTGCACTTGATTATCTTTTTGGAGGTTGATCGTACCCTCTTCCTTTTTCTTCCGATAAGATTCTCGTCTCCGTGTGTTTCTCTGCTCCTTTTGTTCTTCTTTCTCATGTTGCCACCCAGCTAGTACATTGTCATCAATGTACCCAACAATGGGAGTACTCGAAGCAGGCAACGTTGCATCAGCATGTGACAAGGATGTATAGCTAGAGCTAGTTGGGTTGGCTGGTTGAACAATAAATTGAAACATAACCATATCATCCATGTTCAGCAAGCACGAAGCTGCAGAATGAGGTCATTCTATCTAACGATTACTTAATTTATGAAGTGAAAAATTAAACACATGTACCTGATATGCTATGGGAAGGTTGATCAACACTTGTTATATCATCAAGAGGGGTTCGGGAAACACACTGAGTTTCATCTTGGAGGTTGGTCACAGTCTCATCTTTTTTCTTCGGATAAGCTGCTCGCCTCCGCGTGTTGTTCTGCTTCTTTTTATCGCCTGTGCAGTTATTGTTGCTTTCTTTATCACGTTGCCCCATAACTACCATTACCAAATTTACGCTACAGTTATACCAAGTATAAATTCTAGATCCGTACCTGGTATCTCATGGGAAGGCTGATGAACATTGGTGATATCACCAAGAGGGGGTCGAGAAACATTCTGCTTTTCACTTTGGAGCTTGATCATATTCTCTTCCTTTTTCTTCCGATAATTTTCTTGCCTTCGCGCGTTTCTCCGCTCCCTTTGTTCTTCTGTCAAGTTATTACTGCATTCTTTATCATGCTTTCTAGTAGATAGCTTGGCGACATTCAGGAGTAGAGGTGTTGTCTGGGAATCACTTGGGGTAGACGCTGGCGCAAAATCTAAACCATCATGACCATGGGCATTTAGGCAGACATCGTTATGTGGAGATTTTGGACCTAGAGGAACAGAACAAAAGCTAGTGGTTAGGCTCACAGATGAATATGAACACCCATAAGCACAAGAAGGGAAGGTGCGTCCCATTGCGACATTGTCCATTCTATGTTTTTGTTTAAGATGGATCTTTATTTGGTTCAGCTCTTTGTAGTTCTTCCTCCCTCTCCTTTTATATTACCATGTAAACCTCCTTCTATCATATTGTCCCTGTTAGTCTAGCCCTAAGTCTGTACTCTTTAGGTCACTTCCCTCTCTCTCACACCCTCCATTATCCATTTCCCTCTCACGTCAGAATATTGAATGGTTCTACCACACAATTTTGGCTGCACGCACTTGCTATGGACAACTTGTCAGTAACAAAGGTTAGATTTACAAATTACAAGTTTCATCTGTGGGTTTTTTAACCTTGGAGTTAAAGAATTTGCGTTTATGCGTGCTAATCAGAAATCTTTTGAACTATAACTCCTCTTTCATTTCCCTAAGATTAATTAGTAAATAGGAAGATTATATGGTGTGATTGTTACACATATTTTATTTATGTGCCTATGAGTTCAGGGTTGGTGGATTAGCATCTTATATAACCATGGAATGAAAATGATTTATTTTTCTTTCAGTTGAACCTATTTGTAAGTCCCAACGGTGTTGTGAGCCTTGCTTACTACAATTTTTAGTTAAACTTCTTCATCCAGCAACTCCGAGGAGTAGGTTTTGCGTGACTGATACCATGTTGCTTCCAGAAATACCAGTACTTTATGGTTTCACATGTGATTGCCCTTAAATATATATATAGTATATAGTAATGTTCTGTTCAGGTTCGGCATAAAAGTTGTATTCTGATTACTGCTGCAGCTTCGCATGTTGAATTATGTTAGACATGAAGTTCTAAACAAGACATTAGAAGCTTTTGGTGATCTCAAAGATGATGAGGAGCTTGGTCCTGCTGACTGGGTTACAGTTAAGAAATATATCACAGGCTTGAGTAACTTGGAAGATGAACATGCACATCCACATGATGACAATCATGATCACATACATACCATGAATTTAAGGGATGGCCGAGTGCGTATTTTGAATGGCAGGCAGGCTTTTTGTTTGCTTTTCTTTTTTGCCCTTAAATAGTTGGCTTGATACGTCCGTAATTCTATCTTGTCTCTGTATTTTATGGAGATGTTTAGTTTCATACTAAATGCGGTCAGTTAACAAAGATTATTTTTCCTTTTTGTAAATATTGTCTTCAGGTGTGCAAGCCAGTTACTGGGCAATGCTTGACGAGGGACGGATAAATGCAGCTACAGCCAATATTTTGATGCGATCAGTTGATGAAGCTATGTATCTTGTTTCTAGCCGGCCATTATGCGATTGGAACAGTTTGCAGTCCAATGTCCATTTCCCAAGTTACTACAGGTTCCTTTCTGCAAGCATGTTACCACAAAGTTTTATCACATACTTCACAGTACAAAGATTGGAGTCAGGATGTTACATCTGTCCTGCATCTTTTATGTGCTTGTTATTTACCACTTCTTTATTACCAATTCCAGAATGCTTGTTATTTACCACTTCTTTCCTACCAATTCCAGAACTTAGTATCCAATCCAAGGATCAGAGGCAGTAAATGAATATTAGTCACACTACGTGGCGCACATGACAGATGTAATGCGTAGGTGTCCGTCGTTATAGTCCATAAGCAGAACAGAAAGTAGTATTTTTTTACTTTTCGGAGCCAGCTACAGACCCTATTTTTTAAGATACGTGGAAAGTAGTATGGTGTAGATGGACGCATGGCTCAAACCATTTAGCTTTTTAAGGTTAAACTATGTAAAGCCTGTCTAAAGTCATCGTCATTTGTGATGTCCTGTTCTAGTATCACCCCTCCAGAGGGACTAATATGCAATACTGACATGGTAGGTTATTTTGGTTTTTTGTTGTTGTCCAAATCTGTTAGGCATGATTGATGAAATGATCAAATAAAACCCATTTGATAATGCATGTTATTTACAAAATCCCCATACCTGGTGTCATTGGGTAATACTCGTCAATGTCACGCGGGAACAATTTCTGGGATGGATTCGTTGACATTTATACCCTCATTATGGCATGTAACGCGAAAGTTATATGCAATGTTGTGTTTATACCAGAATGAAGGTCAACAAGACGGGTAGAGGGTATACCTGGACTTCCTTGGGGATGTAGATCAACAAGAGGTGGTAGAGGTACATCCGATGCCTTTCTTTGTTCCGGTGCCTTGCTATTTGAATTTCCCATACTTAACTTTTGTTCTGATGAGTGACATATCACAAATGTAGGTCAACATGAGAAGATCAAATAAGAACTATTTGATAATGCACGTTATTTACAAAAGCCCCATACCTACCATAATTGGGTAATACTCGTCAATGTTGTGACTCGGTGCGGGAACAATTTCTAGGATGGATTCGTCGACATTTATACCCTCATTATGGCCTGTAACACGGTAGTTATATGCAATGTTGAGATTACACCAGAATGAAGGTCAACAAGACGGGGTAGAGGTAAACCTGGACTTCCTTGGGGATGTAGATCAACAAGAGGGGGTAGAGGTACGTCCGATGCCTTTCTCTGTTTCGGTGCCTTGCTATTTTAATTTCCCATACTTACCTTTTGTTCTGATGAGTGACCTATCACAAATGTAGGCTAACATGAGAAGCTAGAGTAGAGGTCCATTTCAAAGTAAACTTACAGGAGGACAAAGCTACCAACTGCTTACAGGAAAAGCTTGAACCTGGTCGAGCTGGGAACATTGATAAAGAAAAGGCGTAATTTAGCTTTGCGTAAAATTCAGAGAAGTTGCATATTTATAAATTGTATGATTCACAAGTCCAAAAACCTTCAAGTGTCTTATTGAATGTGCTGCCGGTGGAAGCATAAAAAATCATCATACGTACAGGAAGGTACTGCTCCATCGGAGTTCTGTACGTATGTGTGTTGGGACCTGTTGAATGGACGAAGAGTTTAGGGTTTAGGCGAACCTGATTTAGGCAGAACCTGATCGGTGGCACCCTCCCTGGATCGGCGGAGGCGGATGCGTGCGTGGGGTTGTGCAGCAGTGTGACGCCCCGAGACCGATGTGCCAGGTGTCCTCCAGTTATTCGCTGTTGTTGCTTTGTCTTTGCTTGTGTGTCATGCATTGCATATCATGTCATCATGTGCATTTCATTTGCATACATGTTTGTCTCATGCATCCGAACATTTTCCCCGTTGTCCGTTTTGCAATCCGGCGCTTCAATGTCACCCGGTGTTCCTTTCTACCTCTTTTCATGTGCGGGTGTTAAACGTTCTCGGATTGGACCGAGACTTGTCATGCGGCCTTGGTTTACTACCGGTAGACCGCCTATCAAGTTTCGCGCCATTTGGACTTTGTTTGATACTCCAACGGTTAACCAAGGGACCGAAAAAGCCTCGTGTGTGTTGCAGCCCAACACCCTTCCATTTTGGCCCAAAAACCCACATAAACCCCTCCATCATCTCGGTCGTTTGATCACGATCGCGTGGCCGCAAACCGCACCTCATTTGGAGCTTCCTAGCTCCCTCTACCTCTATAAATAGACCCCTTCCTTTTCGTTTTCGGATCTTTTCCCCGAAATCCTAAAACTCCTCCCTCTGCGCCGCCGGACATGTCCACTCCGCCGCCGGATGCGTTCGCCGCCTCCAGCCACGTCACCCCGGCCAATAGTGCGCTGCCACGTCAGCCAACCGCCTCCCTCGCCCAACCGCGCATCGGCAAGTGTCGCCGCCGTTCCCCTCCATCGCGCGGGCCCACGAGCCCATCTTCGGCCCGCTACGGGCCGCGGCGGGCCCGAACCACCCGATTCGCCCGGACCTCGCGCCGTCTTCGTCTCCGGTTGCCGCCGGCAAGAAGCTCGCCGGAGCGCCTCGGACCACCGCCCGCCGTCGGTGGTCAACTGCCGGACCTCCCCGTCGCCTCGCTCGTTCTCCGCCGCCTGTGCACCGCGCCTCCCTTGCAGCGCCGGCGACCGCCACGCTTCTTCTCACCGGCTGAAGCAGCTCCTCTCACCGGCCGACCTGCGCCGCCGCACTCGCTCGCCGTCGCCGCCATGCATCAGCCGCCCGGCGCCGCCGTGTCTCCCTCCCGCCGTTCGTCTCGCCGGCCGCCGCCACCGGCGAGCGCCACCGCCTCCGCGCCGGCGAGCTCCGCCGCTCGGAGGCCCGTCGCCGTCTGCCTCGTCCAGATCCACCGCGGGGTGCATCAGATCCACCCGCGCGTCCATCCAAACACCGCGCCTGGACCGCTCCATCCCCCTCGCCCTCGTCCCGCGTTGACTTCCGCGAGGTCTATTTTTTCCTTCTAAGTCCCAGATCTTCATATTTTTTAGCATTATTCATCATGTCATAACTCCGCATCCGTTGCTCCGTTTTGAGCGTGTAGCACATCAAAATGTTCGCCTCGACGAGTACATCATTTCATCTCATTGTATCATTTTCATTTGAGCTCATCTTAATGTTCAAAATGCTGTTGGAAGAGGGCTATGTGAGTAATTTGTCAGATCTGTTTCAGCAAATGGCATTTTGTCATTTTTGCGATGATTAATGTGTGCATGATATGATCCTGAGCTCTACATGTGTTTTGTTATATGCCATGCCATCTTTACAGCGGTGCTTACCATGTATTTTTGTGATATTTGTGGTGACTAGCACAAGCTTGCAAAGTAGCGTAATCGGTAATGCTGATTTCAGGGACTTAGAATTTCACTAAGTCTTTGTCCTGATTTTTGTCGTTATGTCATATGTTCATGTTGTTTCCTAGTGATCCGTGCATCTTTTGAGGATGATCAGTAAGGATGTTTTGTTAAAATTGTGGTGCTCTATCCATCCATGTCTTTGTTTGCATTTATGGAGCACCCTAGCTTGAGTCAATCGAGCTCTACTTTTGCTATATCGTGAATCCTCGCAGATTGTTGACTTGTTAGCGATTTTGCCGAGGATGTTGCTATTGATCCGTGCATACTATGTTGTTGTTCTTGCCATGTCTAGCTTCTATGCCATGTATTATTGATGGGTGTATGCTTAGTTTGTCATGCCATGCTCTGTAGTGAGTGCGTCGAGCTCGTAAACATGCCTACTCGTTAACTGTTTTGCATGCTCCAGTTTTTCACCAAGTCTGAGATCTGTTTATGTTTTTGCTATGTTCATATGCTTGCAATTGTATCTTCTGATCCCTTTTGGCTCAAGGTCACTAAGGGACTTTTGTTAAGTGCTTTGAGTAGCTTGATGCCATGCCTTGCTTTGCCATGTTAAGTTCTTGTAGCATGTAGTTTTCATTCTCTAAAGTGTGCTTCCTGATGATAAATTCCAGACTTGTGTTAATTTTACCAAGTCTGAAACCTGTTATCATTTGCATTTTTGCCATGCTTGTTTGAACCTGTTAGTGAGTGAATTAGCCATAGCTCAGTGTTCATCTCTTGTCAAGCTTCTTGAGTGGATCCCTGCCATGTATTTTTTTTGCCATGTTTGAGTGCTGTAGCATATTTATCTTGTTGCATTTAGATGGCTACTTGCTGATTATCGCAGACCGGTGCCATATTTGTTTTGCTTGTCATTTCCAAATCGTGCATCCGATTCTGGTGATCTTTATATCGATTTCAACCAAAATTACCTCACCTTTCCAGTGGCACTCTTGGATTTCCAAGTTGATGCCAGGTTCAATCATTTATTTGCAAATCATGCATATGCATCGCATACCACATCCCGCATATCATAATATGTTCATGTGTTGGTTGTTTACTATGTTGTGTGCTTCTTTCCAGTGTTGCTTCTTCAGGCTGGTTCCGGTAACATCGTGATTGTGAGGACCCGTTCGGCTACGTCCGTTTGTCTTCTTCATGGACTTGTTCTTTTTCCTTGCGGGATTTCAGGCAAGATGACCATACCCTCGAAATCACTTCTATCTTTGCTTTCTAGTTGCTCGCTCTTTTGCTATGCCTATGATGCGATACCTACCACTTGCTTATCATGCCTCCCATATTGTTGAACCAAGCCTCTAACCCACCTTGTCCTAGCAAACCGTTGTTTGGCTATGTTACCGCTTTGCTCAGCCCCTCTTATAGCGTTGTTAGTTGCAGGTGAAGATTGAAGTTTGTTCCTTGTTGGAACATGGAGATGTTGTTCCTTGTTGGAACATGTTTACTTGTTGGGATATCACAATATATTTTATTTAATTAATGCATCTATATACTTGGTAAAGGGTGGAAGGCTCGACCTTATGCCTGGTGTTTGTTCCACTCTTGCCGCCCTAGTTTCCGTCATATCGGTGTTATGTTCCCGGATTTTGTGTTCCTTACGCGGTTGGGTTATAATGGGAACCCCTTGACAGTTCGCCTTGAGTAAAACTCCTCCAGCAAGGCCCAACATTGGTTTTACCATTTGCCACCTAGCCTTTTTCTTTCTCTTGAGCCGGCCAGCTCAATGGTCATCTTATTTTAACCCCCCGGGCCATTGCTTCTCTAAGTGTTGGTCCAACTGAGCGATGTCCGAGGCTACCAGGGGCAACCCTGGGCTGGCTTACCCGATGTCTTGCTCATCTGGTGTGCCCTGAGAAGGAGATATGTGCAGCTCCTA